CACTAGCAACAAGTACACCTTCACCACAAACAAGTGTCAATCCCACTTCTTCCCCAACATCCATCACTCAAGGTCCACCAGCCATCACAGCTGCTCCCCAAGCGAATGCTAATGCTAATGCACAACATCTGCCAACCCGCACTTCTTGGAGCCTGTTTGGATCAACTACTCCCCCAGGATTACCTCGCTAGATCACTTTTCCTTCATAGAACTGTCTTTTTTTTCTGTGGTTCAGTGGGCTCTTGTTTCGAAAACAGTACATAGAGGTGTATCTTGAATGCGTGTGTTTTCTATGTCCTCATTATTGACATCAATTTGACTAAGAACAATCAGAAAATGGCCAGCAGTAGACAGCCACCTTGCCAACTTGTCGATCAACATATGGCGATGTTGTTACCATGCCTGCCTGGCACGCGAGCACATCATTGCCACAGCCTGAGATGGCACACCCAAGTTTGCACACGGATGGCCATTTGACTTTTTTCGAATCCCCCATTTCGCGAGCATCCCCCAGCGATCGGTTCATCACGTGACGCTTGAGGAAGATCACTATAGGCAAAAATCTGACCTGGTCCAGCGTTGGCTTCTCCTCACACGGGCTCCCAAGGCAAAGATTCTCAAAGAAACAATGAAATGCGAATAGTTTTCACTTTCTGATTTAGCAAAACATCTGTTTCTCGACCAGTGCTGGCACGGTTTGGACAGGACTCTGCTCGCAGGCAGCCCTATGTTTGCACATTGAACGCATCACTGAACCGCTTACAGCGATGATCTGCACTGCACATGATTTTTTTTTTTTTTTTTTTTTTTTTTTTTTTTTTTTTTTTTTTTTTAAATCACTATTACATGTATTATGCTGGACATAATCAACACTTTGTTCTTTGTGAAATTACAGAAGCTGGGGGGATAGAGGTCCAAATACACCCATAGAAATGGCAAAAGCAAGTAGGATAGAGTGCAAGCAATTGGTAATAGGGGCACAAGGCCATGGTGTGATTGGGGAGTGGGGACAATGGGATGGGAAATGGGATGGGAAATGAGATGAGCGAAAGGGAGAGAAAGGGTGATAAAAGGAATGTGGGATGAGGCATAGGAGAGGGGAACATGGGATGAGGGGGAAAAGCAAGAAGGATAAGATCAAGAGAATGCAGATGGAGCCACATTGAGACTGCTCAAAATTCAATGAACAAGAAGAGGAAAAGCCAACTGGGATGTAGCCTCAACAATCAGGCACTGCACTGCACATGATGAACCATTTGGTCCTTTTCTGGGGGAACGAGAAGAGTCTATTGATGTGCTTTGGCCTGGAAAAATTGCCCCCAAGCACCTTTCGAATGAGCCCAAAGGCAGCTGGTTAGTCCCACAAGTGGCCGAGTAGAAGGCAGGGAAAGATCAAAATGCTTCAGCCCAAGTTTGTGCTTCCATGAGTCATCATCCAGCCCTGAAACAGGGTGTCATTTCTTTGGGTCATTCTGTGAGGCGCGAAGCACGGAGCTTAATGTTCATTGTCAAGAACAGGAACATCACTAAGGTGAAAAGGGAATGTGCCTATCCGTCTATTGGTAACCACTCACGTGAGATGCAAAGATGAACAAAACAGAAAACAGATATAAAACTGCTGTGCTATCCCCTTCCCTAATGCACGCTCCTCACTGTATGCATCAGGAAAACAGACAGCAGGTGAAAAAAAAAACCCTCAAAAAATCTTGCCACACAAAAACCCTGCGGGAAAAAAGGCCCATGGGAAAAACAGGAGAAAAACCCAGGCCTAGGAATGGAAGGAAAGAAAGAGGAAAGGGAAATCAATAGTGCAACCAAATAGCCAATAAGCAGCACAAACCCCCCCCCCCCCCTCAAGTAAGGGCATGTGCCAGGGTGGAGAGCGGGAGGGAGGCACATTCCCTTTCACCTTAGTGATGTTCCTGCTCTTGACAACAACATTGTCATTCGCAGTCCATCACTGGCAGTGATGCATGAATGTGTGAAAAGGGTGACAGCAAAGGTCGATAGGAACGAGTATACTCTAGCTGAGGAGCAGGACCCGGGTGTGGGTCCTGCTCCCCTTATATACAATAGTACACAAAACCTCAATCTTCCAATCTGATCCCAAGTGATTCCGAGTTGTGTTGGGGATGGTTCACTGATCTGACTGAGTGAGACGTGGCACGCCACATCACCCCCCTCCAGCGTGAGACATCTAGTCAATCGCGCTTGCGTTTGGTGGCAGTGCGAGTCCGGTTCGCTTGCTGCTTTTTGCCCAATGAGCGGAGGTAGTCAGAGATGCACTTGCGCGTGTCAAAGTTTTCTTCGGGTTCCCACGAGTTTTGGGATTCGGGAAATCCTTCCCACTTGACGCGGTATTCGCGGCCAGTTGCTGTGTCACGATGATCAACGATACGCTCCACAACGAAGGATTCGTCCGAGAGTACTCCATTGTGGGAGATCAAGCGGAGTTGGTTCATGGCGTACCGCCGTGGCAACAGCGAGCCAGTAGTGTCCCGAAGGATGTAGGCGCCGCCTCGGTTCCGACGGATGACCATGTATGGGCCTTCATATCGTGGGTCAAATTTCTTGTCCCGATCTTGTGTCAGTGTCATGACCATCGCTCCAACCGGGAGGTCGTCTTTCACAATTTTGTGCGATTTGCAGAGCCGCTCATGCGCCCGCTGTGCCATGGTTCTCGTTTGGCCTGCAATGGCTGGGAACACAATCTCTGACATCAAACGCAAACGTGATTCCATTTCTTCTGGAGATAGTGGCCGCGCGCGAGAGTCTTCACCCCCCTCTCTCTCGAAAGAGAGTGGATTCGCAGCCCGCGCAAACATCAGGCTGAAAGGCGTCAAGCCGTGTCGCTCATGGACCTTTGTGTTGTATGCATACTGCACTGCCGGCAGCATAAACGGCCAGCGATCAAGCTCACCATCCAGCATTGGAGCTAGCATCTCCTTCGCCGTGCGCACCATGCGTTCCGCGGCCCCGTTCCCCTGGGGATGATAAGGAGTAATGCGCCGGTGCTCAATCTGCGCCATGTCAAGCAGTCGTTGGCAAGTGGCATTGACAAATTCTGATCCATTGTCAGACTGCAGAATGCGAGGGAATCCAAAGGTCGTGAACAACGCCCAGACTGCGCGAGCCGTTTCTTGGGCCGAGGCTGCTCTGGCCGGCACCAGCCATGCAAAGCGGGTGCATATGTCAAGGACAACCACGGCTTTGCAATAACCGTCCGCCGTCAGCGGCAAGTCCATGGTATCAATTGCAAGGTGGTCCATTGGCAGGAGAGCTGTAATCGATTGAATCGGGTGAAAGCCGTGCCTGGAAATGGTGTAGCGCATGCAGGGGATACAGCCCCGCACAGTCTCCAGACAATCAGCCTTGATTCCAGGCCACGACTTTCCTGAGCGCTGCAACAGTTTCACCATAGCGTTTGCACCATAATGCCCATGCTCGTGGGCACGGGTCAGAAGCGCACCTCGCTCCGACTCGGGGACCTCGAGCGCGTCAGGTTCTGCCTCCACCATCATGGGCGATGTTAGGAGCCACTCAGCTACGGAAATTTGATTTTGCGCGTTGTGCGCGGCCGGCCCGCTGAGGTTCGGTTCAGCGTTTGCAGGCTGGGCCGGCCCCGTAGCACTTGCTTCCAGCGACACATGATAGGTGCACAGGTTCTTGACGACAGCTAGGCCAAGGAACTCCGGTCCAGGCTCAGCAGCAGAGAGCCATGCCTCGGTTGAAATTGCTGGACCAGCATCCTCGGCGAGGTCAAAGTGCTCGAGCGCGTCAAGAGTAGGGCAGCCAACGACGTCATCGCCAGAGTCGTCCAGGCTGGTGTACTCCACGTCAGTGAGTGTGGCAAGGTACATGCGAAAGTCTCGCAGCAGGCATGTCGACCCATACAATCTCGAGAGAATGTCAGGCAGTACATTCTCCGAACCAGGCAGATGCACGGGATCAAAATGCACATCCAAAAGGTCATTGATCCAAGTCTGCATCATCGGATTCAAGTCCTTTTGCGTGAACAGATGCGTCAGAGCCATGTGGTCCGTGAAGAGCGTGAAACGGCGACCAGCGAGATAGAAGCGGAAATGGCGGATCGCGAAGATGATGGCCAAAAGCTTGCGCTTTGTGGCGCTGTAGCGCCTTTCGGACGCCGACAGTGCACGTGAGAGCAGGGCAATGTAGCGTGGGTTTTCCCTGCTCCCTTGGAACAGAACAGCACCAATGCCCATGCTTGATGCGTCGGTCGCGACATGAAAGGGCTCGTCCCAGACTGGGTGCGCCAGCATGGGCGCCAACTTGACCAGGTCTTGCAGAGCCTTCCAAGCCGTGCTGCATTCTGGCGTCCACTGCAGCGGATCGCTCCTATCAATGCGCTTCGCTGTGCGCAGACGGTCAAGTGGGGCAGCAACATCGGCCAGCATGGGAATGAAGTCGCGGAGGTAGTTGACAAGTCTGAGGAAACGCTGCACGTCCTTGCCAGTGTCCGGCTCAGGCCAGGATTGGACTTGCATGATATGCGCCGGCGCGGGGCGGACACCATCAGCAGACACGATCACGCCAAGGTATTGGATTGAGCAGCGATAGAAGCTGCACTTGTCAAGGGTGAGCTTGAGGTTATACTTATTCAGGCGCTGAATAACGGCGAGCAGGTGCCCATGATGCTCATCAACTGTGGACGAGAAAATAATGATGTCGTCAACGTAGACACGGATGAAAGGCAAATCACGGAAAATGTCCGCCATGACCCGCTGAAATTGCGCCGACAGCGCTTTGAGTCCAAACGGTCCTCGTTTGAATTGGTACTGAACACCACGCCAGAGAAAGCACAGTTTCTTCCGATCCTTTGGGTGCACTGAGAACTGATGGAACAAGGCCATGAGATCGAGGCAGGAAAAAACGGCAGCACCAGCCGTTTCAACAAGGTCCCGTGGCCCAATGGCTAAGGCGCCTGACTACGGATCAAGAGATCGGAGGTTCGAATCCTCCCAGGATCGTTTAAAAAGGTTCCACTGGTCTAGTGGTAATGACGTCTGCTTTACATGCAGAAGATCGCTGGTTCAAACCCAGCGTGGAACATGGACGATTTCTTGTCTTAATGCATGCAGTAGCGATTGAAAAAAAAAAGCACCAGCCGTTTCGGAAATGTGCTCGCGAATCCGCGGCAGTGGGTGAGGGTCCTCTGGGGTGTGCGAGTTGAGGTAGCGAGGATCAATGCAGAATCAATATCCAACAACAACTTTGTCCTTGTTGTACTTGGCGGCACCCGCTATAGGGTGGTTCCAAGGCGGAGGGGGGTGATGTGGCGTCCGCCAAAACCCCTTTCAAGTGGGTCTCGCCCACATATTCACTCGCAGTACGCAGCACCTCGGCAACGTCTGGATGAGAACCCCTTACATCAAGGATGAACGAGAACAATGCGACAAGGTACGACAGCGGAGTTTCTTGCACGTTGCGGGTTTCACCGGCAAGGCAGTAGCGAGGACCACGGCGCTTGAACTTGTCCATGAGCGAGTCAGTGTTACTGTCGCCACTTGTTGGCTTCTTGGCCTTGTCCTTATCGTCCGAATCCCAAGCCGAGCTGAGGCGCTGTCGGACCGTTTGGAGGCGGTCAGTGTTGCTGTTGGCAAGGGCTCGGCGTGAGTTGCGGTCTCGGGCTTGTGCGGCAGATTCGCCCTCGGGCGCAGACTCGAGTTCAATGGCTTGGTTGGCATAGGTTTTCAAGAGCGAGCGCGAGCGCTGGAGCAGATCCGCATGCAGGTCTTGCGGGATGGCGACAAGTTCTTGAACAGTCAAGGCGGCCAGGAGGGACAGATGCCGCAAGAGGTCAGCATCTGAGATGTCGGCGGGGATTGGCCAGCTGGGGTCGCCCAGGGTGGGAATGTCGGCGGTCGCAGCGGCAGGATCGTCGGTGGGCATGATGAGGTTGAGATGTTGTGGGCAGCTTCCTTATCGAAAAAAATGAAAAGGGTGACAGCAAAGATCGATAGGAACGAGTATTGTTGAGACTGGGAAAGTCTACTAGAACAGACTATATAGTACGACCTGACACTCTGTTCGAGTTGAGTGGCAGTAGTAGAAAGGTGTGGAGGGGGACTGGCTCATATACATAGTCCAGTCCCTCGCCAGGGTTATTGACACACACACAAGAGACACAAGCACTAATGGGCTGAGACATGAGAGCAATCATGAGTCTTAATGCATGCAGTAGCGATGGAAAAAAAAAATGAGAGCAATCATGAGACGTGACACGCGAGACATGGCTACGCTAGACACGAGCCATCACATCAATACACCTGGGCTTGCTCGCTTGCCACTAAACCCCACGCACACAACATCACCCCCCGCAAGATCCGACCAAGGCCGCGCAGCATGAGGCGAGCGGACGTGGGCAGATCTAACTCAGGCTTGGGTGCGGCGGCGACCCTTGCGGCGCTTCTTGCTTGAAGCAGGCGAATCGCCAAGGTCGACGCGGTCAGCCGTGCGCTTGGAGGTTCGGGCGCGCGAAGCGCGTGCCGGCACTTGTGGTCCTGGACGGGCAGCTTGCTCTTGCTCGTTCCAATACTTGGTGATGACCTCGTGAGTATCGAAGTTGGACTCGTGTTCCCAGCTCGCATCGTCGAGCGGGAAGTTGGCCCACTTGACATGATACTTGAACTGGCCATTGGGCAACCGCTCGTGATCGAGGATGCGCTCGACAACAAATGAGTCGGCTGACAAGTTACCTTCAAGCGAGACGAGCCTGAGGTGGTGCGCCGGAGCCCTTGTGCGCTGAATCTCGCCTGTCGGGTCCTTGAGCAAGTATGCGCCACCTTGGTTCCGTCGAACGACAATGTACGGGCCCTTGTACTTGGGGTCGATGTTACCGGACCGAGGCATGACAACTTTTCGCATGACCAGAGCACCAGGCGGGAAGTCGTCATGCAAGATCTTGTGGCACTTGATGAATTCCTTTTATGCTTGAGCCAAGAATCCCGACGCGCGTTCGCTGACCGCAGGCCACACGACTCTTGCCATGAGCTCGGCGCGGGCAGCCAGATCTTGGCGGGACAATGGCGGTGGAGGCAAGTCGGGCGAGGCAGAGGATGGGGCCACATGGGAATGGGCAAACATGAGCGAATACGGCGTGGATCCATGGCAGGAATGCACAGCCGTGTTGTAGAAGAACTGGACGGCCCGTAGGCGCTCAGGCCAGCGTGGAGTGTTGCCCTTGATGTCTGCCAACAACGAGGTCTTGATGGTGCAGACGAGCTGCTCAGCGGCACCATTCGCTTGTGGGTTGTAAGGCGAGATGCGCCAATGGGTGGTGCCCAGCTTGCCGAGCAGGCGTTGGATGGTGGCGTTGACAAACTCGGGACCATTGTCAGACTGGATGATGTGTGGGATGCCGAACAGCAAGACCAACGAGAAGAGCTTATTGCCGATCTCGTCGCCAGTGGTTGACTTTTTTTTTTTAATATTTAACCTCAGACAATTGCACTTATATGACATTCAAGGACACACAACCACACAACACAATGACTTGATGGAGGAGGGAGGGAACTTGGGAAGTCTTGTGCTTTGACATAGGCATGACCACAGAGGGACATGCGATGCTTGTCTTGAGAGGACCAAGCAACTTGGGTGGGGTTTGAACCCACAACCTTCGCCTTGTGAGGCGGGAGTGTTACCACTGTGCCAAAACCACTTGCCGTCGCCAGTGGTTGACGAGAGCGGATACAGCCAGGCGAAGCGAGTGCAGATGTCAATGGCCAAGAGCACGTGCGTGAAGCCGTCTGTGGGGTCCAGCTTGCAACAATCGATGGCAAGATGGTCCATGGGCAAGGTGGCGTGAATTATCTGCGGTGGATGGTATCCTTGGGTGCGCACCGAGTAGCGTTGGCAATCGATGCACTCGCGGGCGAATCGGCGGCAATCGTCGAGCATGTTTGGCCAATACTTGCCATCGTGCAGGAGCCGAGCACGAAGAGAGGTACCTGAATAATGACCTTCAGAGTGTGCTGCAGAGAGGGCGTCCTGGCGGAGCTCGGGCGGAACAATCGACACTGCGGGAGACGGCATAGAGACATCAGTGACCAACAGTGGCAATGTGTCTGGTGGAGATGAGGAAGAAGATGACGTAGCCGAGGCAGCGGCACCAATGCGTGTTTGCGACCAGCGTGCAACAGCTTGAAGGCCAGCGCGAGGTCCAGCAAATGGGGACAAGATGGCATCAACATCGAGGCCCAAAGGAGTGCGGGGACCGGACAAACCAGGCCCAAAGGATTGTAGCGGCAGAACGGGTGCAGGCGGATCATCCTCGAGAAGTCGAGCCAGCTCATCACCAAAGTCTTGTGTCACAATCTCTTCCAGCAGCGAGCCAACCAGGCATAGCACGGGTGGCGCGCTGGGAGCGGTTGTTGCAATGGCGGCAACGGCCAGGTCGGGACCGGCAGCAGGAGTGGAATCCGAGTCTAAATCAAGCCCTTGAGGTGGATGACGGACTGGAACGAACCCACCCCCCGCAGGGCCCGACAAAGGCGTCGACGCCACATGGCCCGCGGCACGGCCAACAAGAGCCCGATGGGCAAGCTGTGGGTCGGAATCGTCATGCGAGTACAGTCGGGAGAGGCAGTCGGGAAGCACATTGAGGACGCCAGGCAGGTGCTCGATGTCAAAGTCAGACTCGAGGAGCTCGTCAAGCCAGCGTTCGAGCATGGGCGACAGCTTGCGCTGAGTGAAGATGTGAGCGAGGGCTGCATGGTCGGTGTAGAGCTTGAAGCGAGTACCGGCGAGATGCGTCCGTGGTGACAAAGAAGCGTTCGCCCCAAACCGGCGAGTACAACGGCGGTGCAGATGAAATCAATTCCTTGATGGTGACAAATGCGTCCTTGCACGCAGGCGTCCAAACGCTCGGGTCATCGAGCTCGATGCGCTTGCGCATGCAAAGGGCATCCAGCAGGGCGGAGACCGTAGCCATGAGCGGCACAAAATGACGCAGGTAGTTGACGGTACCAAGGAATGACTGCATCTGGGTGCCAGTGGTCGGGCGAGGGAAGTTCTGGATGTCGAGAATTTTGGACGGCGCAGGGCGAATGCCCTCAGCCGAAATGACGTGACCGAGGTAATGAATCGAGGCACGGTAGAAATGCGACTTCGGGGGTTTGATGCGCAGTTGGTATTTGTTGAGACGGCGCAAGACCTAGGCAAGGTGCAGGGTATGCTCCTCGACTGAGAGCGAGAAGATGACGACATCGTCAATGTACACACGCACAAAGGGCAGGTCGGCAAAGATGTTGGACATGACACGTTGGAATTGGGCCGAAAGCGGCTTGAGACCAAACGGGCCGGTGCGGAACTGGTATTGCACGCCCCTCCAAGTGAAGGTAAGGTACTTGCGCGAGCGCTTGACGACACCGAATTGCTGGAAAGAGCTGAAGAGGTCGGTGCTGGAGAAAACGGAGGCACCCGAGGCATCCTCGAGGTGCTCAGATGCCATGGGCAGTGGGTGGTTGTCTTTTTTTTTTTGGGTCACTACCACATGTATTGAAGCTGAAAACCAACGCAGAAGCCTTGAAGGGTACAAGAGCAGAAAGGTCAGAGATTCAAGACACTCAATGGATGACAAAAGCAAGCAGAGAAAGTGGCAGGCAATTGGTGGTAGGGGCACTTGGCCATGGGGTCAAAGGAGAGGGTAGGAAGGGGAGCGAAAAGAGGATGTGAACAGAAGAGGAATAACAAAGTCCAAAAATCAACACTCAACCACATCACAGTTACACAACATAAACAATATGCAAAAATAAATCAAGAAAGTCCAAGCACAGACGAGGGGGAACCATGTCAAATGAACAGAAAGCATCAACGGATTAGGAAAGATTACGCCACGAGCGCAGAGACAGCAGTTGGGGATAGTGAGGGGACTAAAATGGAATGCGTACCAGACTGCACCCCAACACGGGTAGCAAAGCGTTGCTGTGAGTGTCCAAACCCAAACCTGGGGGTTGAGAGCCCTGGGAAGGTGCCGTGGAACCGCCATTCGCCAAAGGAAGCCAGTGCATGCAAGGCTGAGGAGGAGGCAACGAGGGGTGGGCAGCCAGCGT